GACAGTAAACTTGAGCTCTTGGTCTCGCCACTAGTCTGTCTTTGTCTGTTGTTAAAATTATGAGCCAGTCTGTATGGCCGCAGCCAAATGAGTAATCACCAGTAATGTGACTCGTGCTGGAAGTGACTCCATCAGCACCTGTGACGGAGGATTAGTTACAGTTTACAGAGCACCGCCTCTTCCCTTCTCTGTGTGCCCTCAGCCAAGTTACGCGTTCTCATTTGGGTGTCTGCACTGTTGGAAGCTACTGCAGTGTGTTCTCCACGCAGAGTACAGTGGGAAAGGCTTTCTCTAGCTAATGGATGGCTGTTCTCTTTATTTGGAGTATCTTACTGGTTATGTAAGTGACCTCGGGAGAAATTATCCTGACCTAGATCGGTGGATGCAGTAGTGCTTCAGCTGCAGGATTTCTTAGTCGTTAACACCACGGCGCTGATGACAAAGAGCAAGTTGTAATCCTCGTCGCTGCCAGGGCAGAGCCCGGAACAGGCAGAAAATCGTCATTTGCTCGTCGGAGACTTGTTAGGTTACAGCTTCTGCTTCGCTCCGTGGTCTTGGCTTTTCTTCCTATATACAATGACGCTGCTGCAAGTGAGCTTAGAAATGCTCGGTTTGAGAGCCATTTGCCTATGATTTTTGAAGACTATAAAGAAGTATTTACCCTAGATTAAAAAAAAACTGCTCAAGAATGAAATGAAGTATCAGCTATACTTACTGACCTTTATTAAATCCATGGCTTGGATTTCGGAGATTTAAAGATACTTTAACATTCTCAAGAACAAAGTACGGTTTGTATTTTCCTGCTTCCTTTTTCTTTTGTCTTAATTTACATTTGGTTTTGCTTCTCAGGTTTAGGAATTAAGGTCACTGCCTTTTATAGTTCTGGCCCCAGCCTTTCTGGTTTTAAGATTTTAAAAACTATTTTAGAGAGCTTTACTCTGTTTGTAGTAATTTAAGAACACGGTACAAAAATTAATTTAAAAACTAGAATTTGTTTATGGCAGGAACGTTTCAAATTAGACTATAATGTTTAAAGGGAAGCAAGGATATTTGTTGTGTGTGTGTGTGTGTGTGTGTGTGTGTGTGTGTGTTAATCTGTTCCCCACCCCCAGCTTGTTTTCTAACAGTATGGTGTTTTTCAATAGACCTGCTTGGGTGGGAATTTGGACTTTGTTCTTTGAAGTCACTCCATTCTTTTTTTTTTTTTTTGGTAGACTAAACCTTCACTTATAAAATGTTGCCTGGATTGTTTTCTGCTTCAGTATTCACCAGCACTCAGATTTATATCATGTTCTAGAGGTTAATGAGCCTGTTTTTTTTTTTGTTTTTAACTTAAAAGAATAATTATTAAATGTTAACTGGAGATGGTTAGAAACTCAGACTGTAGACATAAACTTCATGAATTTCCTGTTAAATGGTGAGCTTTAACATGGTTTGTTTGAGCAGCTGAGTTGTATTTGAGAACTGTAGCTGATTTATTTTAAAAAATGTTTTTCGGGGAAGCCTCATCTGTTGGCCTCTTCCTCATGTGAATGGAATGTGGTGCAGCATGGAGCCCCAAACAGGATACAGTTGTTCTAAGCATTCTTCCTATAGCGTGGTAGGCCTCAGTAGAAATGTAGGCTCTGAGCTATATTTATTTTGGCTTTAAACTGTTTCTAAAGTATGTTTAACATTGACAAATGACCTTTAAAAAAACCTCTTAATCCGTTAATAAAATTGAAAAGTTTTATTTCAGCTAAATACTCAGTCTTAAGTTAGTAATTTCAGTTTGGGATTTCAAAGACTTTTGAGTAAGTCTTTGTGATTAGGGCCATATTCTGTTGTAACTTTGGTCAGATGGTAGCTCATTGCTTCCCCTTAGGCTGTGGAAGTTCCTCTTAGGAGGATATCTTTAGAGTCTTTAATTAGTTATGCATGAGTTCTAGTTTCTTTACATTCCAGTGCACCTAGGCCTTTGAAATATTTACTGGATTCAATATAAAAGCTATAGGGTTCATTTGGTTTCACTTAAATTATATACATTTTATTTTTAAGCAAATCATATAGCTCTGAAATATTTTAGACTGGTGTACAAAAATTTAACAATAGTTACATTGTTGATTTAGCACATTAAGAAAGCAGAGCACATTTTAACTACATTATTTCACTTGCTGTCTTTAATCTTTCCATAAAGTAGACTCAGACACACATTCAGTTTTTCACTTAATACATACTAAAATACTATTCTTTAAGGAATACTATAAAAAGTATTAGTACTTGATAACATTTGTGGTTGAAATAAATATTGTAACATTTACAACTTGTGACTTTTTGTTTCCTGTTTAAGAAGCATAATATATTTTGCACTTCTGTAGATGATTGTAAATACTCATGTATCAGAACATTGTTCTTAAGCGTACTCAAATTTGATCATTTTTAAGCTATTTTTTTACATTTTTGGTAGCCAGATTTGGTCAGTGGCTTTCAGTTAAATACCTTAAAACTTTCAGATTTCTTTTAACCTAGACAGTAAATCTTTTTCCTGATTAACTGACAGTACAAATTTTAAGTTGGCTTGTTAAAACTTACCCCTAAAACTAACCTACCTTGAAAAGAAAGTCCTAAAAGGTTTTCTTCAGAAGAATGTTTTTCATATTATAAAATGACTGTCTCATAGGAAATGCAAACCACCTGTACTATTTGCCTAAGAAAGGGGCACTTAAGACTAAGAAGTTTACTTCTTTGTCAAATCCTACTTAATTGAATTGTATCGTTAGCCACTTAGATAATACCTTTTGTGGACCATTTTTGTTAACCTTCTTGCGTTGACCTGGCATGTTTGAAAAGAATTAGAACATCTGATAATGTTCAAAGATTTAAAGTCCTCTTGGGAATGTGCCAATATTTCCTAGTTTACTAAACTGACAGGTAAAATAAGAAAAAAGCCATTTTTTCACAGTAAAGATCAGCTAAATTAATCTCTTCATATGACATATTTCATGTCATTTGTTCATATAGTGATGAGCATTTTTAAATCTGAATAAAATGTTGTTGAATTTTTTTACAAACTTTCTCACTTCAATTAGTCCTAGCAAATGGAAGATATTAAAGGACAATAATATCAGAAGGTAGCTAAATAATGCGGGGATTTTCTATTTTGAAAATGTAATTTCTCCCCTAAATAAAATACTGGATAAATATATAGTATAAGTTAGCCTGGGGCATGAGAAGGATGTTACTGCAGTTAGATTTTCTAATCATAAATATTGAAAGTAAGTGTAAGAAGGTTTGTTTTGTTTTGTTTTGTTTTGTTTTTCTTCCCAGGAGGTGGGTTCTGGGGAATGCTCCTTCTATCATCTAGGCTGTATCCTCAGCTCTAGAATTTTTTTCATGTTATTTCAATTAAGGAATGACAGTGTTTATTTACAAGTTCACTGTGTAGATGGTGTAGAAAGAAGACATATTTAAAATGTTTATTCTCATGTGTTTTCACTGATCAGTTACAGACTATAGTGAATCAACTTGAAAACTCTTTCAGAAATTTTTGAAACGTAGAAACTAACTTCCTAAGTGAACCATTAAGATCTTGAAGGTTTTCCTCAGGCATTGTTCATGACTCGCAATTAGCAAGATGTTATGTTTCTTTAAGAAATAGTACAAGGGCAAACACAATGGCTTTGGGTCCCCTGGGGATTTTTGCTATGTCACAAGCCTTGTTTTGTATCCTAGTGGTCACTTAATTTGCCTTACAGTAAGGAATGTTTCTTTTGTGATATAGGTAATCTAGAAGCTAAGTTGGTTGTTTTCCAAACTTTGATTCTTTTATAGTAAAGCCACTATTTTTTTTTAAGATGGGGGAATTTTATTTTCATTCTCAAGGCTTTAGAACAGTGCGATGGGTACAGGCACACTTGGTTTTTATTGAGACTTCATCTGCTATGAAAATGTACTAATTTTAAAATATATGGTATCTAACTTCCTTCTTTCCTCCTCCTCTCCTGCCTGCTGCACACTCACTCCAACATATAAATAATGTCCTTCACATAAAAGATCAGTCTTGAAAAGAATCACAGGACCTTGGATTCACTTTTTTAAAAAGTATTGGAGAGAAACTTTACTGCTAGATAAGTTTTGTGTGGTGTTTTTCCCTGGGCTCTTCCTCCTTGCTGATCTCATGGGGGGTGTTATTTGTGCTCTGGACAGGGGCAGGGCCAGGGGTGGAGTTAAAAGACCAGACGCTTCCTGATCATTTAAAATCCCACTTAATTCGAATGACCTAGAAAAAAATTAAAATCATAATCTCTCCCTGTCTCCCTCCTATGAACAGAAATACTAACAGTTTAAAAGAGTGCACCGAGGGGCCCAGCAACATGGTCTGGTGGCTCCTGCCTGTGATGCCCCACTCTGCAAAGCTAAAGCTGGAGTATAGCAAGTTTCAGCCTGGCCTGCACAGTTCATCAACTTAGTGAGCGCCTGTCCAAAGATGTAAAAAATGAAAAATACACCCTGAGATATACCTCAGTGTGCAGAGGCCCTGAGTTCTGTCGCTAGCATCTCAGAATGAATGAAAGAAGGGAAGGAGGGAAAGAGGAAGGAAGGAAGATCCTACTTTCGCAAGAGTTCCTATCTATGTATTTATTTATTTAGTCAGACTTTTTGAGAAAGAGTCTCGCTATGCAGTTCAGGCTGGCCTTGAGCTCACTTTGTAGCCTGACAGGAGTTTCTTTTTTTAATGTTAAGCAGAAAATTGCATATACATTCATGTTTAATTATCTATTTTTAAAAATAAAAAAACTGGGATTTTACATACTGCAGTTTTTTCATGTTCCATATTATTGTCATTCCTTTTTAGTAAACACAATATTCTATGGATAAAAGCTTTACTTTAGATTGTACCAGTGTAATGATGACACTAATACATTCTATTGATACAGTGTATACCCTTCACACCATATTTTGAGGGTGCAATCCAGAAAATAACCATCAGAAATTTTTTGTTTTGTTTCTTTTCTTGACAGACTTTCAAACCTCTGGTTGAAAAAAGTATACCCAGTTCAATCACAGCAGTAGAATTCCTTATAGATAAACAACTGGATTTTTTAACTGAAGATAGTGCCTTTCAGCCCTACCAGGTAAGAAATTTTAGATTACTTTTTAAAATTAACTTCATTAAACTTTCAGATGTTCTTTTTAAATACTGTTTTATCTAAAATCTTAGTTGTACAAGAAGCCCAGTATTTATTCAGTTGACAAATATATACTGAGCTGGGTGTGATAGCACACACCTGTAATGCCAGCTGAGGCAAGAGGATCTCCAGAAGTGCAAGGACAGCCTAAACTACACAGAGAGACCCTAACTCAAAAAAACAAACAAGAGCTGGGCATGGTGGTGCACGCCTATAATCCCAGCACTGGGGAGGCCGGGGCAGGAGGATCCTTGTGAGTTCAAAACCAACCTGGGCTACAAAGTGAGGTCAAGGCCAGCCTGAACTGCATAGAGGAAGACCCTGTCTCAAAAAAGACAAACAAACAAAAAACAAATGTGTACCAAGAAAATACACTGTGAGCTATACAGCTTTGTGTCTGTAGGTAGGAATATAGTTGTGAACAAAATAGGTGATGCACATTTCATCCTGGCACTCTGAGAGGCTGAGGTGGGGGATCGAAACTTCAAGCCCAGCCTGTACAGCTTAGTAAACTAGAAAAAATTGGCTGAACATTAGTATAAATTGTATTTGTCTACAGCTCTAAAATTTAAAAATTAGATTGATTACTGTAATTAAGATTATTGATACATATAAAATTTAATGTAATAGCAGGCCATTTTCTTTCCTTTGTTTTTTTGTGGGGGGGGGTCTTTGTGAAACAAGGTGTTGCTATGCAGTTCAGGCTGGCCTTGAGCTCACTTTGTAGCCCAGGCTGGTCTCAAACTCACAACAATCCTCCTGCCTGAGCCTCTGGAGTGCTGGGATTACAGGCATGTGTCACCACGCCCAGCCTTTCTTTACCATCTTTGATGCACGGTTTTACTGTATAATACAGGCTTTCCTAGAACTGGTTATGTAGCTCCAGCCAGCATGAGATTTCTGAATCCTGCCTCCCAGAGTGATGAGATCACATGTGTGTACCGCTTTGCCCAACTCATTTTCTTTTTAATAGGAAGTTTTTGCCTTTAGATTGTCATTAATTGAAGTAATTTAAATGTGAATGCATTTAATTGGGGACTATTTTTCAGCACACTTACTAGATTTGGTTAGTGGTCCTGGGGTTTAACCCAAGACCTTATGTACCCTAGGCAAGTGTTCTACCACTGAACTCATCTTCAGCCCTTTTTATTTTACTTTGAGATAAGATCTGCCAAATTTCCCCATCCGGCTTTCCAACTTGTGATCCTCCTGCCTCACCCTCCAGAGTAGCACAAATTACAGGCCAATACACTGGGCTTGATTAAGTTCTTCATAATTTTTAAAAGTATAAATAAAAAACACAAGTTTATTTTCTTTGTTATGTTTGGACATTAGATTGAATTAAATACATATTTACATGTTTAAAGTACTATAGCATTGCATTGCAAGATGAGGGAACCAGCCTTTATTTTTCTCCCCGAAGAGTAGAAAGTTAATACTCATTTCATTTCAAGCTCATTACTGTTTAAAATTGTTTCCATGGAAAGAACAAGAGCATGAATTAGTGTGCATTGATTTGGTTTGGAGGTGTAATACTTAAGGAATTAGAGTAGTTCTGTTAGATTTACCAAAATGATAGTTCATTTGGTATAAACCCATTATTTCTTAATTTAAAGCCTACAGATTTGTCTTTTAAAGTTATTTTTCTTATCTGGGCCTATTTTTTTTATATTGTTAGCTTTTGTCCTTTGCTTCTTATTGTTTATAGGTAAAAGCCAAAGCAAAATTAAATAGTAATGTAGATTTTGGGACTTTTCCCCCTTGGATTTTGTTTTTGTGAATGTCATTTCACATATGATAGGCATTATAATGTGCTTCATATGTAAAAATTATTTAGAGCGAGAATAGATTAATCTATATGAAATCAAAACAACCTTCCCAATCTTGGTGTCTTAATTCTGTAGTTACATTATTATCACTTTGTAAGTTTCAACTTGGATTTGATTTAGAGAAGTGAAATAGTTGTGTATTACTTTTAAAAATAAACTCATGCCAGGTGGCCTAAAACTATGCAACATGTTTATTAAAATTATAGTAACTGAAAGAAAATACTAACAGGTTTGCCCCCTAACATTTTAAAACTGTTTTAGATTCTGATCATTTTTTTTCTTTTAATAAGTCTTCCATGAATTGATGAATTGTATGATTTTTCTTTGTTTATAAGTTATTTAGATTGCTTTCATAGTAGAATCATGCAAATTGACTTCTGGCCTAGAAGGATATTACTACTTTCTAGTAGTGAAGTGACTCACTTGTTTGTTTTGTTGTTGTTATTTTTTTTTATTTTTATTTTTTTGTTTAGTGCTAAGGATAGAACCCAGGGCCCTCTACATGCTCTGCAAGTGCTCTATCATTAAACTCCATCGCCAGCCCCTCACTTGACATTTTAATCATTTGTGCTCCCTAAAATGAACTTGAATTAATCGAAGAAGACTTGATTTTTACTTTTTTTTGCTAAATTTTAAAAGTAACTAATGGGTTATTTTGTTTTGTTTCGTTTTGTTTTGTTTGCCTTCCTGAGACAGGGTCTTGCTGTGCAGTCCAGGGTCCCTTGAACTCACACTGTAGTCCAGATTGGCCTTGAACTCATAGCGATCCTCCTGCCTCAGCCTCCTGAGTGCTGGGATTACATGTATTACCATGCCCTGGCCAACTGTTGGTTTATAAGAGAGTTTTTCTACATGTATTTTCATTTTTATATTTCATTTTTTAGAAAATCAATTCACAAATATCAAAATTTTTTTCTGGTGTGTAAGGAAACAAACCAAAAATGATACAGTAGCTGTCTATTTGAATTTGAATAGAAATGTAGTGTAGAGGTCTCTGATGACTCAGTCTAGGCTTCCAAATTTATTTAAATTAATTTGTAAAATGTAGATACGTTCTAAGAAAAGGAAAACATTTAGAGCTTATGCAGTTAGACAGATTTTACTTTTGTGCTTTCTTTTCTACCAGTTGACTAAGCTGCATACTACATGAAATTTCTTGGCATGTTAAACATAGCAGCTTTTACTGGCACAGATTTTGTAAATACTCCCTTGACCTATCTCAGTGTTAGAAGGCAATGCTGTGTAAGTCAAGGGGATTTTTGAGGACACTTGAACAAGCTTTTAAAGTTATTACTCCCATTTTCCCCCCATTTCTTTAAGTTTCATTAGGCAAGTTCTTTTGAATCAAGGTGTTATTACCCTTCATAAACTTAGATATAAGGGGTAGAATTTCTTTAGAAATGACGAGACTGGATGATTTAATGAAACCTTGTTTCAAAACAAAAAAGAGTTGGAGTATAATTCAGTAACAGAGTTCCCAGTAACACACACGCATACGCGGAGGACCGGGTGTGGTGAAGCAGGCCTGTAGTGAGCACCCTCTGAGGCGGGAGGCTCCTGAGTGGGGAGCCAGTCTAGGCTGCAGTAGTGAGTTTAAGGTCAGGCTCAACTAGGTCGTGAGACCTTGTTTCAGAAAACCAAAAGAGAAAGAAGGAAAAAAGGAAAGAAAAGTGAGCATGTAGCTTGGCAGGTGACCACTCGCCTAGCATGCAGGAGGTCCTGTTTTAGACACCTAATACTGGAGGAAAGAAGAAAGAAATTCCCTTTGTGTATATTTTTTTAGTGTAGAATCATGAGTGCATAAGGTCTTGTGGATTCTCAGAAATGGTACTTTGCTGTTACTGAAACGTTTTGGCACTGAGAATTCCACCCTACCACCTTTTTCTGTGAGCTTTCAGCATTTTACTTTGTAGCAGTGTATTGCCTTTTGTTTCTTTTCTGGTTACACAGCTCCATTTTAAAAATTAAATCAGAATGATAACTTATTCGATAAATTGTGAGGAAATGGTTAGGAAGCAAATGACTCAAGATTCATAATACAGGGCCTTTCAGGTAACTCGTTTGAATCCAACTCCTTTCTCGCAGAATGGTTTTAGTGTACTGCATGACATGTATTAAATTATTTGATCTAATCCTATTTGATACCTACTTGGGTTTTCAGGGTACAACCACTGTAGGTCATGGTGTTTGGAATTACAGAAGAAAAGTTGGCTGAGGAAAGAAATTGAACTAACACCTTACAGGCATATAATAAACACACATTGATTAGGTCACTGAAACATGTCGCGTGTTTTTGTTTCTGCTTCCTCCTTTTTCTCGATCATACCTAGTTGCAGTTAACTTTCTTTGAAGTGGAGAGGGGAGGGAGAGGAAGTGGAGGGAACTCTGCAGATTCTGTTTTCTTTCAGCTGGCTGGGAAGGAGGGAAAAACACAGTATTGCTTCTTTAAGATCCTTTTTATAGTTTGTTGTTGTTACTATACTGGTATTGTTGCTTTGCTTTAGAATATGATTATAAAAGTCCAGAGACTTTCATTACATTTGATTGCTGGTTCTGTTCTGTGCTGTTTTGTTTTGTTTCCTTGCGAGTAGGGTCTCACTCTGCGGCCGGGGTCAGCTCCTAGGCTCAAGCATTTCAGGCTCAAGTGTTCTTGTCTCAGCCTTGTGAGTATCTTGGCACTATGGCCATGTGCCGCTGCACCTGGCCTCGGTTGCACTTTTGATAAGGTTTAAATAAAAAACGATTGATAAAGAAATTAGAATATTTAGCTTTTGGTGTAATTTTGAAATCAGCTTGACCTGTATTTGGTTACTGGCTATGCCCACGCCTGTGTTTTTTGGTTGGATGCCTTGTAGAGATTGCTTACCTGAAAGTTGCATATGACGATCAGGTAATCTTGCTTGGTCTAGTTTGTTAGCCCAGTATTTTCTAGGGCTTGCACTCATCTTTGCTTTTAAGTGTAATAAAAAATACAAAAGACACTGGTTAACTGTGTGCTTTTGCAAAATCATACTTTTTTTGTATATTAAAATTCATTGTAGTAATGAAATGTTTTTCCTAGAATGAAATAGAATCATTCTAGAAATGAAGAAGTAATCCATCAGTTTTAAGATCAGG